ATAAAAGAAATTTTATAATATATATAAACATCACTGTCGGTTTCAAAAAAATTGGCATTGATGAGAATAAATCGACAGTGATACTGGTTATCACTGTCAGTTTATTTTTGAAAACCGGCAGTGATATATAAAAAATTTAAAAAAATATGCTAGCCCTTGGGTTCGAGCGTAGGTCTCAGGCTGCAGAGTTCAGAGACTTAACCGCTACGCTAATATAGGATGTGTGCCAAGGGTTATTTACTTTTTCCTTTTGACCTTTAGGCCGTTTAAAAAATTATAAAATAGAACAAAAAAAATTTAGGCCGCCTGGGACTCGAACACGGGTCTCGGGGGCTAAGTTGAGGGGTCTTAACCGTTGCGCCAGTAGGAGGAGTTCGAAAGAGAATGAAAACTTATCCTACTTAACACCTAAGTTAACACCTAACTGCTACACAACATCACTACCAGTTTGGGGCATGACCCGGTAGTGATGTACCCCATCATTGTTGGTTTGCAAGCAAAACCGACAGTGATGAGCTATTTTCTCGAAATAAATTAATAATTTATAAAATAGAACAAAAAAATTTGAGCCGCCTGGGACTCGAACACGGGTCTCGGGGGCTAAGTTGAGAGGTCTTAACCATTGCGCCAGAAGGAGGAGTTCGAAAGAAAACGGAAACTTATCCTACTTAACACCTAACTGCTACAGCACATCACTGTCGGTTTGGGGAGTGACTGTCGGTTTGGGGAGTGACCCGGCAGTGATGTGCTACATCACTGTCGGTTTACAAGCAGAACCGGCAGTGATGAGCTACTGCTATAAAAGTGGCGTGGGTTGAAATTATCCCAATTCATTTCAACACCGCGCCAACCCCTCCCCCCCCCGCGCCGTCGCAGCACCACCCCGCGCCGGAGCACCGCCCCACGCCGTCCACCGCCCCAATTCAGAGCATCGCGCCATCCATGCCAAGCCAGAGCACTGCGTCGTCCGGAGCACCGCGTCGTCCAGAGCACCGTGCCGTCCGTCCCACCGCCAAGGTCTTCAGTAGCGCGCGGACAGCTGCTTTCCCACCCCCACGGTGAGTGCGTGGCTCACTGTCCGCTACGTGTCTGATGAAATGTCCCACAACTGCTTACTTGAATCAGTTTGATCATGCAAAGGTGTGTCTTTGTCATACGATTTGATCATGCAAATGTGAATGCTAGAACCTAGGTTTGCCACACGCGTGTGCTGCCTGCTTTTTTGTGTTTCGGGCGCCTGCTAGTAAGTAGTACATTGTTACTTAGTAGCACGTTGCTCAGCTCTATTCATCAGTATACTGATAAGAGCAAAAGCGTAATTTTATTTTTGGTTACCAGGATAAACATAGCAGGGACTCGTAATACTTGACATAAATTGCTCTCTGAACATTAATGGTAGTTTGTTTTTGGAGTACTTGCATTTTCTCTGTGAAACAAACTTACGTTTTCTCTGTGAAACCATCTTGTGCATCATTGGAGCTTGGCCGGATACATATGTGAAACCATTGGCTGGCCTCACCTCGTAGCTTGCAATTGCAACTACGCTCCCATCAGGGGGATACTCAATGTTTTTGGAACTGTGCCACCGATGCTCAATATTTTTGGATGTGAGGATGAAGTATATATATACTTTAGACCTATAGAACTAATATATGTCCAAACTTGTCATAGAATTCTCCATGCTCTCAGCATAAAGATGCATAATTATTAACTTATGCAAGCTTACAAGTAATACATAGTTATGTAGCCTTGTGCATTAAACTGGGAATATTTTCCAACAATCCTATCTTATTATGAGTTTTTGCATGTCACTTTCCTGGGATAGTATGAGATGCATATTTGCCCCTACCAACCATGTAAGTTTCAGATCAAAGTATCACTAATTTGGAAAGATGCTTACCTACACTGATACTTGTGAAAGAATGTCGCGCCGATGGTTGGGGGATTTATAGTGAGACTGAAGACTCTGAGACATCTCTAGGAGTATATCCAAAAGTCTTAAACTGGCTCTCTAAATCATCATTTGGTTTTTAACGAATAAAAAATATTCTTTATATCTTTCCTACATCTAACAACTATTACTAAGGCACGTGAATAGATGTTTTCCAAATACTCCTATCTATGCAATGGTTGTGTGTTATTCGTAAATATATTAAATTGTATAAGAATACATCATGTTTGAATGACAACCTAATTTACTTAAATGTATAGGCAATCATGGCATGGTATGTAGTGCATGTTGGTCACATGCCTGGGATTTATCGAACCTAGGAAGATTGCTATGCTCAAGTTAATCGCTACCCTGGTAATTTGCACAAAAAATACAACACAGAAGCTGAAGCTTTGAGAGCCTACTATAGTCATCCAGCCTACCTTGCAAACCATGGGCAACCGGCCTACTATGGTCCAATGAATGCAAACCATGGCTATCCGCTGGCAGTGGAGATCAAAGAGAAACCACCCGCTGGAGATGTGAAGATTAGGAGAAATGCTCCTTGGTCTTGGAAAGATATCATGCTTTTATTTATGGCTATCGTCATCGCTTTTCTTATTTAGAAGTTGATGTAGGCTTAGTTTCGTAGAACAGTAGGTGGACTTTGTTGTATGTGGACTTATTATTAGACTCTGCATTAAACATATTATATATATATATATGAACATATGCTATTAGTAGTTGTCCGTGGCCAAAACTAACCACGATCGTGTCACAGCCATGACTCATCGTCGCCTATTACCCCGTCGCCGAAGAACAGATCGGCAACAAGAAGCGGCTAATATCGCTGGGATGGGAGAGCCGCATGATCCGACAAACAGTGATGGTGTCAATCAGGTCGGTGAGAATGAGCAGCCATAGACCCCGTCCGGCCTGCTCGATCTGGGTCAAAATGACCAAAATGGCCAGGTAACTTTGGTATCATGTGACTATGTAGCCACACACGCTAATCAATTGAGAGGGTCATAGCTTACTTGGTGTCTCTAGCAGGAGCCTCCGCCGGCCGAGGAGCCAGAGGGTTCAGGTAGCCAGAGCCTCCGCCGTAACATTTGTAATGTTTAATATTGATGGACCTGTCGTCTACGTAGCGTATATAAAGCGAAACCCGATTCCACAAAAAAATATAAATTAAAATCAATTATAAAAAAATAAAATGCGAATGGACCATCACTGCCGGTTAGCAACGAACCGTCAGTGTTGTCTTGAAAAACACTGCCGGTTATCAACAAACCGACAGTGTTGTCTTGCAAAACACTGCCGGCTTGAGCCATGCACCGACAGTGTTGTCTTGCTCAACATTGCCGGCTTGAGCCATCAACCGACAGAGTTGGCTAGCTCAACACTGTCGGCTTGAGCCATGAACCGACAATGTAGGCTTGCTCAACACTGTTGGCTTGAGCCAAGAACCGACACTCTTGAAGCAACCATCACTGTCGGTTGGGACTACAAACCGGAAGTGTTGTTCAACTATACACTGTCGGGTGGAGCTAGAAACCGACACTGTTTTCTGTAGATCAATGTCGGTTTTTAAGAACCGACAGTGATGTCAACCCCCCATCACTACCGGTATGCCACTATCGGTTCAAAATCTGGCAGTGAAGGGGGTTTTTGAACCGACAGATCTGGGGTAGTGTGAGAATCTTCGTCTTTATAAGAAAAGGTTGACTTATTCACTTAGGTGTATCAAGTTTCTTTTGCATCAAGGGTTGGCGTTTCGTGGACATGATGAAAGTGAAGAATCTAGCAACAGAGGAAACTTCATTGAACTTTTGAAATTTCTTGTCGGAAATAGTGAAGAAGTGAAGAAGTATGTTTTGGATAATGCTCTAGGTAACTGTATACATTTTGTGACCGAAGCGTTTGAGAACTTTGAGTTTGTTTTCTTTGCACACTTAATGTATATTATTTTTGGATATACAAATGAGTTATCTTGAGTGTTTGCAAAGAAGTGACCTAGATATTCTAAATGTAATATCACTTGTTAATGTGGCAAAGAAAAGAATACAAGAATTGAGGTCTGATGGTTGGAATAATTTTCTTGAAAAGGTCACTTCATTTTGCGATAAACATGGTGTTGAAGTTCCTGCTATGGATGGTGATTATGTTCCTTATGGAAAATCAGCAAGGAAAGCTCGTGCTCGAAAGCAAACTAATGATAACTACTTTAGAAGAGAAGTATATATTGGTGTCATTGATCAAATAAGTCAAGAACTTGATAATCGGTTTGACGAGATTAATATGGAGATTGATCAAATAAGTCAAGAACTTGATAATCGGTTTGACGAGATTAATATGGAGTTGTTGTCTTGTATGTCAACATTCAGTCCTTCCAAGTCATTTGCTCCTATTGATACATAGAAGCTACGTAGACTAGCTGAGTTGTACCCAAAGGAGTTCTCAAATAATAATTTGCTCAAACTTGAATTGCAGCTAGATAATTATATTAATGACATGAGACAAAATGATAGATTCAAAGGTCTAGATAATATTGTTGATCTCTCAGTTAAGCTTGTTGAAATAAAAATGCACAAAATGTATGATATGGTTTATGAGCTCCTCAAATTGGTATTGCTTCTACATGTGGCATCGACAAATGTTGAAAGGGTATTTTCTGAAATGGTTTTTGTGAAAACAAAGTTAGGTAATAAGATGGGAGATAGTCTTCTGGATGACTGTCTAGTCACTTTCATTGAGCGGGATATTTTCTTTAAAGTTGATGAAGATAATATAATCAATACATTTATGTCCCTTTAAAAGCGTCGAATAAAATAGTCATAAAAATAGCATTGAAAGTCTCTGGTTCTCTTTTATGCCTTATTTCAATTATCGGTGTGGCTTTTGAACTATTTATACTATACTTAATGGATGGTTTGAACTTAATCCATGAATTTAAGCCTTGTTGTGTTATTTAGTGCATATATACCGAATCATGTTGTCAATTTTATAATTATTACCGAATTGTTGAAATAGATTTACCGAATTGTATATGAAAATTTGTGGACGGCATCTATATTCGCCACTGCCACTCGCCGAGGATGATGGGCACCTCCCCGTGCGGCGTGGGGTAGGGGTAGGCGGAGCCATCCTTGGGGCTGATGACGATGGCGCCGTGCACGATGGCGCGGTCGTAGTCACTGTGCGCATGCCACCACAGCGTGCCCTCCTCGGTGAAGATGATGCGGTAGGCGAAGCTGGCGCCGGGCTAGATGGGGCACTGCGTGATGTACTCCGGCCAGTCGGACCATGGGTTCCGCGGCTGGTCCACGCCGTGCCAGTGGAGGGTGATGTTCTTGCTGCCCTGGTTGCACACGTTCACCACCACCACGTCGCCCTTGCACGCGTAGATGGTCGGCCCGGGGAACTGCCCGTTCACGGCCAGGATGGTCTTCTCGTGGCACAGCCGGGTGACCTTCGTCTCCTTTATCTGCAAAAAAAAAAAAGAGTTGATCACACGCCGGCCGCCGTTATTATTATATATATTATTAGCCGTTGTAAGTCTACCTAGTGGTAATATAATTAAGTCGAAATGAGATGTATCGATCAACTTACGACGAAGTAGTAGTGAGTCTCCGGGCTAGCTGCAGCAACTCCAAAGGCTAACACCACGCCTAGCAGTAACCAGCAGAGCCCTGCGGCTGTCATCTTAGCTACACCGCCCATCGTCTCGATCGGACGTTTGGTTGCCCAAGGAGCATGCAGCGAGCGATCGGGAACGCAATGCAAAGGCTTGCTAGCTTCTGCAATGTGCGTTCGATCGGCTCCGTGCGTTGCTGCGAACACGATGCTCATCTGCAGCGGATACCGCAAGTATATTTATAGAGCGAGCTGCCAATGCAACGACGAGGGATGCAGTATCATTAATTAGTTAATTATTCTCCGTTAGTTCGTGATGCCGACACCCACCATATATCTAGTTGATAACTTCGAATGATTGGTCTTGGCCGCCCCGCGCGTTGCAGCGGAAATTTTGTAATACTACAAAGGCCGTGTTTGAAGTAGAGAGCGAGACAAAAGCGAGAGATGCAAATGATCCTCTGTTGTACTCCCAATGAATAGTGTGTGTATATATATATATATACAGGGCCCATGTGGATGGTTACAAGTGTGAAAGAGAGAGAGGGGTGAAAAGACACCCCTTAGATTAATTCCTAACTGATTACTAAATAATAATTCTTAACACTCCCACTTGATGAATTAACTCCTTATAGTCTTCATTGTTCGCCTATTATGCATCTTTATGAATCTTTGGAAAACCATGTGGAAAAAACCAAAGTAATATTGGTATAACAGGCAAAACTCCTTAAAATCCAGTGGGAAAAATAAGGAGAAAACACCATGATATAGAATCACCAATGTTATTAGACCCTTTGAGATAAACTCAAAGCCTTAGTCTAAAAACACCTTGACCATAGGGTCAATATGCTTCAAATATCATCTTCCAAAAACCCCGGTGGGGAAACTAAATGATATAGCATATACCTTTGTGTTGACATTGCCTCATCAAAAACTTTATATCAAAAACCTCAAAAGGAAAAACTCACATAAAAAAGAGAGTACAATGCATCTTATGTCCCAATATGATCCACCAAAAACCCCTATGGAGAAAAATAGATGATATGATATAACCTTGTGTTGATATTGCCTCATTAAAAACTTTATATGAAAAAACCAAAGAGAAAAAACTCATACAAAGAAAAGAGTGCAATATAATGTTTGCAACAAGTTATTAATTAGAGAGACTCTCCTCTTGATATTAGCAAACCTCGAAGTAAATTCATATCAATGCACTCAATGCATAAGAAATGTGGAGTATGATAGACTTTATGAATATCTCTACGAGATTATCATAAGACTTAGTTTGCAAATGTTCTAATGCCCATATTACCTATAGAATAGAACCATCTTAGTACAAAATATTGCATTAAATATAACTTGTCTCCATCTACACAACACAAGTTGCATTACCATTAAAGATAATGAATATTGATTCATAGAATCAACACCACATAACTTCAATATGTGATATATCATTCTGTCAAGCTATACACATTCATGTGAAGCCTTGTACAATACAATGTCAGAATGATTAATGGAATTGACCACTAAATGTCTATTTAAAGACTATCACAAAATGGTCTTTCCATATCTATGTAAAGCCTATTTCAATAATCTAGAATCTGGAGATCTTATAGATAACCAGAATCATTATAGCCACATAATCGGATCATGGATTACACTAGGACCACATGTGCTATTTAAGATATCAAAAGATATTATTAACTTCAATCCACCAACATTTGGTAGGAGTAGCGTTGCTACTAGATAGCAAATCATTGTAAAAATAATATCCGTCCGGAAACTTTTGTAAGATTTATTAGCGCATAAATAGCACGGAGATAATGGACCACATGTCCCCATATCTCATCTCAATCACTATGGCATAAAACAATCTTCCATTATCATGAGGTAGAACAACCAAAGGATACCTTCATATTGAATCACTCAATATGATCTGGATATAGATAGCTTTTGTACAAAATCATGAGAGAAGATGCTTGGATCATAAACACAAAATGAAATTTTGGTTTAGTCCGTATCTTCCATCTCAAACTATGTCTTTAGATTACTACGTGCTATTAACATGTGTTCATCACCAATGATGTCAAGATTGTTGACCATCATATAACACTATGAAATCCAATCAAGGACTCCAAAATGAACACCACGTATAATCAATCTTGTATCCCTTCAGTTTAGGGAATATACTCAAAGTCGATTGTACTAAATTCGACTTAACTGCTTTAAGCCATATATTGACTTAAGCAATACACAATACGTGTTGTGATTTTATGTATGAGGGTTGGGTATGTGAACTCCTTCCTGAAATCTTCACAAATACACCAAATCAAGTGATCATATAAATATATACAATCACTACATCTATCAACTATCAACTGCAACGATAGATGCTTTTGTACTGCAAATCAAAAGATAGTATCAGAAATTTATAACTTACTGTGGAGAATAATTGCATTGAAAATCAATGCCTGGGCTTTGCGTAAACCCCTTGTGCTACTAGTCTTGCTTTGATCTCACCAACACATCATTCTCAATCCATTCTAGGACGAAAATACTTTTGTACCCACAGTAAAGGTACCATGAGGTGTTGGCATCATAGCCCAAAACACCTAGTTTCTGGTGAGCAAGACTATCTCTGGATGTATTACATCACTCAACAAGTTCCAGTAAGAGTGAGCAAACCACTCTGCCTTGGTCTTATTATCTGGATGACTTGGAATGTTGTATATAGTTTATTCAGAGAAGTACGTGTCAACACATGTAGCATTTCTATGGTATAATTCTCTGGTTATCAAAACTCAAAGTACCCTGAATGACTTATCGTGACTTCCCAAAAAGAGAATCAGGGCTTTCCGATATCCTAGCATCAGCATTTAGGTGCACCTTTGAGCTAGGTTTGTGGATGACATCCATCCACTGGGTAATAACCAATATTTACCCACAAGGTGTCGCCAACCATAGGTTGACATGCATTTACTGTCTTAGAAGGAAAACCTTCTATTGCTAGCATGAATAATCCTGCTTTATGGCCATACTTCTCCCCCTCTTATTTTCAGTTGGGAGTTGAGTGGTTTTACTTGGTACCACTACTCTTTCTGGCACATACTTGCAACGGATTAACATGTTTAAAAGATACCTTAGTAATCAGTAAATACATTTGGTAATTTATTTGCAATATTATGCAAATCAACAATTCTTTGAACTCAACATTTAGTACGTGATCCTGAGCTTGAAATGCCTTATGCATTCCAAATAATTTCCTAGCATTATGTATGGTACATCAAATCTCCCCCTAATGCCTGAAAATGCTCATTATCAAACTACAACCAACGTATGAGGATGTAAATAGATCCTCTATAAGAGGTCCTAGATACTTAACAATCGACGGAGATTAAAATCTCACATTGATCCCTAGTTTCCTGTGTGTGCCCATCAATTTACACTGCGATGGTGAGATTGGTATGTATACAACATAACCCAATCTTACGCAAATAGGAAATCATTATGGATTCCCACGTACTAAATGCATATAGGGGATATGTAGTTAATCTCAAATTAGGAGTGTGTAAATCTATCTGACCCCAACATGAAGTTGGCAAATAGCAATTTACTAACAATGGCCCTGCTATGACCTTGTCATACTTCATAGATTCCATTTATCCCTTTGGATATGTAACTAAATTCTTTTATACCAAACAATCGTCATTGTAGGCACAAAAATTCAGTAGTGTTCAGGATAATGAGCTCACAACATGAGCCATTATTTACCAAATGCACGGCTGAATGTGAATACTTCACACACTCTAAATCATCTTATAGATGTATCTTCACAATCATGAAATGCCTGAACTGTCCATACAATCTTTATATCGGACCCATATATATTGTCTTGAATATGATCAAGGAATCTAAGACACTCAGTCTGATTTTAAGATATGAGGGTCTTAAAATCTATTTCTCTTGTGACACTTATCGTATCCACAATTTGGGAAAATCTTGACCAAAAGAATTGTCAATAATTTTTCACCTCATCCCATATGATGGCCAAGTTGTTCATTACAAATATGGAATGCATCAATAGTGTGAAAAATTATCTTACACGCAACATGTTGTACGGGGATGGTTGTATGCATAATACAACCAAAATGAGACTTATCTCATTACTTATATGCCATATCCAATATTGTCCTTTTGTGTTCACATACGAAAACACATTTGGATATCTCTATAATTTAGTAAGATGCGAGTTGAATTGGGACATAATTAAATATCCTCAATTGCTAACTCAGTATCTAAGGAAGAATGATAGTGGCAAAATAGGCCAAACAATCATTGCATCGCATCAGCGATGGCCAAAATATTCCCTCTTCTTGTCACAAGAACCAGGAACATTTTGCTTCCCTAGTTATAGAGCTTGTGGTACAAATGCCCACTAGGCACATATCATTCCACATTGGAATGATTCCCGTACAATCTATATTGTCGAGTATCAAATACATCGATATGATACCCACAATAGTTATGCGTTGACAACACAAATATTACAACATCTTCGATGATCATTATCATATATTATCAACGGACGATGAGATTATCCCAAATCTCAAAACAAATCATTCGAAGCATATTCGATGATCATGTTGTCCATCTATGTGATGTTCTCTTTACGAGAAAAGGAGAAGTGTTGTTATGTGATCCCATAAGGTCCAGCATAAACAACCAACCTCCTATGTGGCTTCAGATTTTAAGATTGAAGCACCCTTCATATCTTATTTCTGTAGCTCTTGTTTCATCCCTTATAGAATGTTGATATAGATCAACAAAAAATTAAGAGTACGGCATTGTTTAGCGCTATGCTAAACACAACCACATATATAACATTAGTCTTTGTCATTCTTGGGTTCACATTGCCATCACTCATATTGCATATTAGGCCTTTTGCTTTTACTAGTGGAAGCAAATTGTATGAACAATATGATCATAGTCTTCAATAGTTTGAAAAACGAGAGACATGATCCACTCATGATTAGCCTCAAGCTATATGAGTTTTCTTTATTGTTCATTATACTCCTAAAGAGTAT